GTTCCGTGGTCGACTGAGAGACTTCGCCCAAATCTCTCGTATCTGCCTGCGTCAAGGGAGGCGTTGACTGCAAAGGCGTCGACAGGCCTGATGGATTACGGAACATTTGCGGTTCTTCTTTGGAAGGACTTTGTGTCGCCTCTGCCTCCAATGCCGCGACTTTTTGGGACATGGCATCCAGGCCAGCTGGCGTGAGCCATTCCAACATCTTGAAGGCGACGGTCCCAAACACATTGGCTGCGAAAGAACGGTAATCCTTGTTGACGGGTCGTTCGGCAACCTTGAATGGAGGATGTGCAGTGCCTGTTGCCGCATCGAAATGCGAGCGTTCGTGCGTGGCGGATATTGTTGCTCGACGACCAAGTTCCTCGGTACCCTGGGTAGCCCTCACGGAACTGCCATCGCCATTTACCCTGCCGCCCGAACCTGACTTCCGCCTTCTACTATCGCCTGATGTACCGGATCGCTTCGAAAAGGGGTCGCTGAATGCTGGAGGCGCGGGGTTGGAGGAAAATATGAGCGAGTTCAGGGCGGCCGGTGTTTCTTTCGGGGGATTGAGGTAGGGACAGAGCCCAGTCTCTGGGTTGTCCTGGCTGGCCAGGTACACTGCCAAGGTCCTTGCGCTCGTGATGTTATATCTGCGTATTGGCGCTTTGCCTGCGAGACGCTTGCGACAGGAGAAGCAGGTCGAGGTTGTGCATGACTTGGAGTCACATCCGTACCGTAGCTGTTGGACGTACCTAATCAGGGGTTTGTTAGTATGGAGGACACACAATGGAGGCTGAATAACAGTTGAAGACGCACGTTTCTACGAGAATCTGGAAGTTGTGCCGGCGGCTGGCGCGGTGGATAGCGTAGACGCGCTTCGGGTTCTCTATGATCTGTACCATATCCTTCAGTTCGGCCGGCGCATCAGAGGGCAGGCGCGCGAGAGGCGCATCTTCCCAGAGACCGGCTAGAAGTTCAGCATCGAGGCCGGCTTCGGTCTGAGGGCCCTTCTCAGGGCGGCGAACGTCCCGAGTCATGTCATCCGGATGGCGAGAGTTCTGGGGTATCTGAGGTCGAGGTTGGATGAGGTAGCTGGCGGCGTACAAGACCAGGAAATGCGCGAGGCAGGGAGCGGCTAGCGAGAAGAGGAGTCGGACAGAATAAGAGAGAACGCAGGGGCGGTTTCGTTGTCGTGGACGTCTAATGGTACACGGATATTACAACCAGTAGTGGACAGTTGGACCAAATAGAAATATGTTGGTGATGAATGAACAGCCTTGACCCGATGACGGGCAGTGGGTATGGTAAGTAGGTTAGGTGGATTAGGATAGCTCAACGTCCCGGTCGTCAGTGTTGGAGGAGGAACTGGGCACCGTATGGCCACGCTATGAGGCTCGGCGACGACACGGTGCGATTCGACGAAAACGGGGCACGGCTTCCGGGGTCCTTCTGAAAGAGTGGATACGGGAAGCACGGGAGCAGGCAAATCGAGCATGGAGGATTCCGCAGAGGGTCCCAATTTAGCATGCGAAATTCCACTGGCAGACGCGCAAGTTGCGATCAAAGGACGAACCAGGGCAGGGTACCTACTCTGGGGCCTGCACCTAGCACCTACGAGGACGGATGCCTCGTGGTGTTTCTGACATCAGCCGCAAGGTTGCCGTCTTCATAGTTCAAACGCCCATTCCAGTCTCGGCAAGGTCGGCGGTTTCTGCCTCCGACTTCTCCTTCCTTTTTTTTCTGGACCCAGCAGAGGTGCCCGCGCCGCCGTCGCCGCCCGGTTGACCCGCTCGAACCCCTCCATCGTTGTTCATGACGGGCCGATGTTTTGCAGCCAGCGCGTAACGGTGGATTAGTCATTCGAGTTTCCATACAGTAACTATTTCTCAGTGTGGCGACGAGTGTTCTTCCAGCAGTTTGCAGCAGTGTGGTGGGTATAATGCAAGTATTTGTCTGGTCCTGTAGTATCTTAGTCAAGATCTTGAGTGTTCCGTCAGGATCATATCCTGGCATTCGTACTTGTTGGGCTTCAACTTTGTTGTTAGCCATTCATCGAGATGCTCGAATCGAGGCTTGCATTTGAGGCGCAAGCCCAAGCGCCTATGATTCCCCACGAAGATGTAGGTACTACCATGATAAAGGCTGTAACTCTAAAAAGCGCGGGACGGCGACACCTTAACCCCAAAACGGTGACAAGTAGACTTGCTGGTGCTTGCGGCGACAGTTTGCCCCCCTAGGTACTCGGTATCCATGCGACCTGCCTCATCTTTCTTGATATGTCAGCCGGCGAGACAGAACAAGACAGAAGCCAAAAAGAAAGCACCAGGCTTCTCAGTCGAGAATCTTTGCAGGTCCGGTGCTTCGGGAAGGAGAGAATTAGTGTACAGGCCCCCACTTGACAGGGCAGCAACTGCCAGGAACATGCTAAGGTAAGGGAAATCTCGAGGCTTTCCAGTGGTACAACTTCTGAGGGACAGCCCAGCCCAAGGGCCCTAGACTGCAAGTGACGTGCCTATCACGTCCCTCCAAACCCCCGCCTAACCCACTAAAGCCCTTGCGAATTTTCCCTTTTAAAATCATTTTCCCCTCCATCCCGCCAGAGTTTGACGCACTGCACACAGAGGGACGCTCATCTTTTGCCTCCTTCATCTCTCTTTCTTTTGCGCATCCTGCAAATTCACGTTTGCGCGCAACAAACCTCCCTATTCCAAACAATCAAAAATATACTCAAGCAACCTCTGAGACAAAAATCAAGCAAAACCCACCACTTTCGCACACGACATTCACCATGGCGAGCGTCGATGTTGCTGCCCTCGGCGCCGTTCCTGCAAATGGAGGGGCAACGACGGCTTCCCACCCCTACACCTGCAACACCTGCTCTGTTGCCTACCGAAACATCGACCTTCAGCGAGGCCATATGAAGAGCGACTGGCAGTATGTTACTTTCATTTCCCTCCTTCCCAGAGTAGTTCCCTCTGTTTTCTAGGCCCGGCTTGTCGTCTTGTTTCCGCTGTGTTCCGCCCAGACCAACTGACATCATCTACCCAGCCGATACAACCTCAAGCGCAGAGTCGCCTCCCTTCCTCCTATTGCCTCCGAGGTCTTCAACGAAAAGGTCCTCCAGGCTCGCGCCGTTCAGACCGCTGAGGCAGAGAAGGCTCTCTTCGAACGTTCCTGCGACGCCTGCCAGAAGTCGTACTCGAGCGAGAACGCCTACCAGAACCACTTGACGAGCCAGAAGCACAAGGTCCGTGTCGCTGCTATTGCTAGACGCAAGGGCGGTGTTGCCGATGATGCCAGCTCCGTCATGAGCTCCACCTTCTCTCTTGGTGAGCCTATCGCCGTCGATAAGGAGAGCGAGTTGGATTCCGAGGCCGAAGAGGAATTCACTCAGGTCGTCGAGGGCCTGAAGAAGACCAACATCCACGAGTCCCACGGCGAGCGCCCCTCACCCGTCAAGCGCCCCTCCAACCCCCACCTCTCTGCTCAAGGTCAGCGCGAAGACGTCAACATGAACCGCGACTCCGAATCTGCAACCCCCGTGCAGTCAAAGCCAGAGATCGCTTGGACCATCAAGTCCTGTTTGTTCTGCAACTACGAGTCGCCCAGCGTTTCGCTCAACGCCAACCACATGGAGCGATTCCACGACATGTTCATTCCCGAGAAGCAGTACCTTGTTGATCTGGATGGCTTGCTTCAGCATTTGCAGGAGCGCGTCCACGATGGTCACCAGTGCCTGTACTGCTTCAAGACCAAGAAGACGGCTTTCGCTGTGCAGACTCACATGCGTGACAAGGGTCACTGCAAGATTCCCTACGATACAGAGGAGGTTCAGCTCGACATTGGTGATTTCTACGATTTCCGAAGCACCTACTCTGATGGCGAGGACTCAGACGAGGAAGAGGAAGAGGCCGATGAGAATGGTGGAGCCAAGTTGGGTCTGAAGCGCCCGACGAAGTTGGTTGGGGAGGACGGCGAGGAGGTTGAGGAGGGTGGAGATGATGGCTGGGAGACGGACAGCTCGGCTTCTTCACTTGACTCGGATGAGCTGACGGCCTTCACCGCGGACGGCAAGTACGAACAATTCGAGCGCCTCGACAAGCACCCTCATCACTCTACCAACGATCCGCGTGCCCGCCACCAGGCCGATGGCTGGCACTCACACGCCCACAAGCACACTCGTGCTGTCTTCTACGACGAGTATGAGCTGCACTTGCCCTCTGGCAAGGCAGTCGGTCACCGCTCTCACAACCGATACTTCAGACAGAATCTCCACAACTACCCTACCGAGGAGGAGCGCGCCGAGCGTCTGGCCATTGAGGCTGGTTCTGGCTCGGGCGATGAGATGGATGTTGATGGTAGAGAGGTCGCCACCACCGGCGATCGCAAGACTCGCAACCGTGCCATCGCTCGCAGAGATGCTGCTGGCATGGCTGGTGCGTCTGACAAGCAGAAGCGCGTTGTTAGACAGGAAGAGGTCAGAGGCCGGAGCACCGCCACCCGTCACCAGAAGCGCTACGACTACGGAGTCAGCGAGAAGTTGAACAACCAGAAGAACTTCTACTACCGCTACCAGGCCGGTGGTTGATCAACTCGCCAATCGATTCTGGATGAACAAGGCGTTGGACGGATTGATTTTGTATTTTGCTGAATTACATTGAACCTTCAAGGGAATGGGCATGCATGATGAGCTTTGATGAACCATGCATAGGGAAGGTAGAACAAAAATAGAGGCCATTATTGCCACAAGATCGCAGAGACTTTGAAGTGAGATGAGTTAGTTGTGACAACTTGTTCGATGTAGGGGTGGCGATGGTGGGGGTTTGGCGATTAACTATGCATATAACGAAACGTCTATATGCGTTTGTTGCATTATCCCAAGCAAACTCGGACCTTCACACACCTTCCACCATCCCCTGGGCTCTCCCATCCACAAGTATCATTCGGCACCATTGGCAATGAATATCAAATTTTCAGAACAATAATCGGGTTCTCATGTTTGGCTCGTGAAAATGTTCAAACACATATGCAACTGCCGTGCCTTCGCTCAGCGGCCGCTCCTGGCGTCGCAGCGATTGATGAGCAGCAGGCCGACTTACAACGCATGGCTACCCCAACCAGATGCTGACGGTTGGTACGATGGGCGGAAACACCCAAGACGACTGGAAGAGTTCGACAACGGGAAGACTCGCGCAAGGGAGGACCAGCGCGTACGGGCGAACACTAGGCTCTCGCCCCCATCGCGGTCGGGCGGTACACCTGCTAGACGGTCAGGCAGCGACTCCAGCTCAAGAAGCTCTGGTGATGCGTCTCGTAACGAACGTGGACGGGATGAGAGGTTCTCAACATCATTGTCGAGGAGGAGTCCTCCCCGGCCAAGGAGGTCACACAGGGACGATGGACCGCCGGCACCCAAGAGGAAGGGTGGCGGTTTTGTACTAATGGTGAGTTGAAGCATTATCACTCTTCTTTCCCCAAAAAGGGTTCATACTCGGAGGGCCTATACTGATATCCAGCCAGCCGAAACTATCTCAAGAAGAACTGGACAAGATCAGCAAACCTAAGGACGTCTGGGAAGCCAGATCACTCTACTTCGTCCCCCCCAAGAGATCAAAAGAACACCAGAAACCCACCCGGCAACCCAAACCGCCAAAACCCGAACCCTCCCGAAGGAACCGCGACGCAGCAGCCATGATCGCCAGCCCAGACGCCATCAAAGCAGCAATCTCAATCTCAGAAAAGGACCTCCGCCTAGCGCGGAGACCGCCCCCGCCGCCCCCCGAAATCGAACTCGAGGGCGACGGCGGCAGCCTCGTCGCGGACCCCATCGCCAACGACGACGTCCTCCCGCACGCCCTCGCCGCCCGCTTCTTTCTATCTCCGCCCGCGACGTTCCTGTACTCGGCCTTTCGGCTGAAGCACCACCCGCTCAACACCACCACGCCCGAGATCTGCGTCGTCGGCGCCAGCAACTGCGGGAAATCGTCCTTCATTAACGCCCTCACCGGCGCGGCGTCGCTCGCGAAAGTAAGCGATCGCGCGGGCAAGACCGTCTCCATGAACGCGTACGGCGTGGGACCCTTGACGGGCCTTCCTTTCCGGAAACCAGTCGCCTCCCCTTCTTCTTCCTCGTCCGAGGGCGGCGGCGTCACAAAGGAAGAAAAACCAGAACACGGCATCATCCTCGTCGACACCCCCGGCTACGGCTACGCCTCGCACGAAGAATGGGGCCGCGAAATCGTCGAATATATCAACAAGCGCACCATGCTCCGCGGCATCGTCCTCCTCCTATCCTCCGAGAAAAAGGTATCCGAAAAGGACGCGCAAATCGTAAAACTCCTCGCCGACGCCGGCCGCCCCGTGATGCTTGTCTTCACCAAGATGGACAAAGCGCTCTCCCGTAAAGCGCGCGAGGAAGGCGGCATCGCGCAGCGGTTACGCGAGGCGGAGCGCTGCTTCGCGAGGACGGGGTGGGATGGCTGGGTGAAGAGGGTGTACATCACCGCGGCGCGGATGGAGCGCGATAAGAGCTGGAAGGTGGATGAGGGGACGCGGAGCGGTGCGGCGGGGATGGCGGGGGTGAGGATGGGGGTTTTAGAGTTGGCGGGTGTGAGGGAGTTTGTTGCGCCTGAGAAGGCTAGCAAGATGGTTGCTCAGCGGAGGGCGGCGCAAAAGTCGCAAAAGACACAGGACAAGGGCGGGGAGGAAGAAGAGGAAAAGAGGCTGGAGCCGGGTAAGGCTTTGGAGAGTGATCCGGCGGCGTGGTCTGGGGACGTGGTTTCGTTTGAGGAGCTGGAGAAGAAGTTTGGGGACTGGAGTTCGTGAGCGGCCAGGGGACGGGGGACTTTGTGTACGATCATGTTTGTAGGATAGTGTGATTGAGTATATTAGAGACAAGAGATACCCTCTAGAGAGAAATGCAACTCATCGTCAGTACGCACGGATTGGGCACGCGAGCATTTCACTCATAAATTTCGGGAGACCCCATCGATGAACCAACGCTTCGACAAGTTCCATCATATGGGTATTCTAGCTAAGACAAAATTGCAAAACGGCCTTCATCGACCATGAGACATTCCCTGAGAACTCCTTGGTTCCTCTGTTTCAGTATGAAATCTCAAGTGAGTGACACGAAAATGGTGCAGACTGGTTGTCCACTACTACTCCTTCTCCTTTTCCTTGTCTCCCCCCGCCCCTGAGACGGTCGAACGCGCCGTGCCCGGCCTGCTGAGCTGCCGACGGATCTTCTTCGCGTTCTTCGATTCAAACAAACTCTTAACCCTCCTAAGACGCGCCCAACGTTCCTTGTCCTTGGCTTCTCTTGACTGTTCGTCCTCATCGCCTGCTGGCTCAGTAGCAGCGCTCGGCGAGTCGTAACCCCCTGGTGTCGAGGGCGCCGCAGCGCCCCTACGAACCGGTGTTGAAGGCACCGAGGCGCCTCTATTATGCCACGTTGACCTGTTCTTCGGCCGGTCCTCGAGCGCTCCGCGAAGGTAAGCGTCATTCTTCAGTACCTGCGTCAGCAACTTCCAAGCCGCCAAGGTCGTGTCTGAGCTGGGCTTCGCGCTGCCCAGACGTTGCGCCACAGGATTCTTCCAAGGGCAGAAGAAACGGTGCTCCTTGACTGGATCAAGATGATCCATTGGCGCGGGAACGAGAATCTCGCCGTCGGCGCCGACCTCCTTACTCTTGAACATCCAAAGGCCCAGACGTCGCAAGCATGTGTGGCAGGATGCCGAATTTGGCACCGCACCGATGCGGGGATTCGTGAGACCCTGCCACCCCATCATTGCCAAAGCCAAAGCGACTCTGTTTGGCTCCTTTGGATCCGGAGAGTCCTTGGTCGGCGGTGGGCTTGTGAAGAAGTCTTCCGGCAGCTGGGCGAGGACGCTGTCGATGTTGAGACCCTCGGGCAACCTCAAGTTGAATTCATAGGGAAGGAAGGGTTTCCTTGCACAGAGCTCGTCGTAACGTGTCCGTAAAGCCTCCATACTTATTTTGGCATTGGTTAAAGACAGCCGGAGCAACGAATCTGGGAAAGTTAGGTCTTAGTTCCGTCAATAGGGTCTGTAAATACTTACTATCACACCCCTGTTTTCTCCATAAACATTCCTCCAGATGTGCCGTGACAATAAGATCGGAGTATCTGTCTATTAACGCTTCCTCTGCTTCACCAATCAGTTCTGAGTAGCAACGAGGACTGGCAACCATGAACCTACCGACGTCCGATGCCACAAGGACAGGTACCTCCTTGCCATCAACTTCGCGTTTGTTGAGCTTCACAACGAGCTCCTTATTGCAGAGCGAACACCGCACACGGTCCTTCCCCTGGCATACCCATCCTCGCTTTGCCCATTCAACTTCGTTCACTGCATCGGGTTTCGGTGTCCAGTCTGTAATCTCCTGGAACGATGCTAGTCTCTTCAGGAGCTCGTTTCGGTCGCTGGGTGCAAACTTTGGGGCGTGCTTGATTTCCGTCACGTTGGCAGACCTTGGAACCCACTTCTTCAGAGATACGTTCGAGAAGGTTGTCGTCGCACCTGCTCCGGTAGCACGAATTGAAGGAGAGCTGTTGATCGTAGCGGCATTCTTCTCGGTCAGTGCTTGCAGGCGCCGACGCTTCAACAAGATATCCTCTTCAATCGACATGCTCGGTTTTACAGAGGTATCGGCTGTTGTGTTCGTGTTTGTAGAATTCGTGTTGGAGGGCTGGAGGGAAGTCGTCGACGGACGAGGGGATTCGGAAGGCAAGCTCGTGGTGTCGTTCGATTTTGTAGAAGCGGATGATCTACCCATACCCTGGATGAGGGCGTTGAACTTTCGTTTGGTAGCATTCATTGTCGCTGCGTGTTTCGATGAAACCGGGGTGGTGGATGTAAGGAAAGATGTCTGATCTGACCTGGCCCCAGGCGCGAAGATCAAAAGACCAGGAAGAAGACGACGACGGACAAGGTCGGTCGGTTTGGTTTCTTGTCAAAGCTCGGGTTTGGTTGTTTGGAGCGGCTTTCACTCGGAGTCCTTCGTCATTTGCGGTATACTGCACCATTAGATGGATTTCCCAGGAAGAGGATGGCGCTCGGTCGCTAGTCGAAGCCTAGACGCCCAGCTTTGCGAAAGTCAACAAACGGCCAGTCGCTGATCGGGCAATGAGCTGGCCACCCCTGTCGCGTGGATGCAAGCGCTAAGGTACGAGGCGTGGCAACGGGTTACCACTGGCGTACCTCAAAATACGGATAAATGCATAGACCAGCTTCATATATATCGACTGATAAGATAAGAACTTTTCGCAATGGAAGTGAGAGGTCGGGAAGAAAAAAAAGTTGCGAGCAGGGGTCCCGACACTAAAATTTTGGAGACACCGATCCGCCGGCGCAGAGATCCCACAGAAATTTTCCCAGGTGAGGGAAGACCCAGGACGATTACATTCTCACCGAGGAATTTGCGACTCGCCGGCTCTTTCCCCCTCCACTTACCTTGTCTTTTTCTTGCCCATTGCGACGGATAAGAGCCATCTCCTGGCACAACACACATGTCTGCGCCTCCATCTTGGCTATTCTCCAACAACTTCACAAAAACCAATAACGCAAGCACCCCTACGGCTTCCGCGACAACGCAAACAGAAAAAATGGCCAAGGTTAAGAAGTCCGAGAAGAAGGTCAAGGCTGAGGCCACCTCCACCAAGCAGGCTCCTCCCGCCCAATTGATGGACCTCGTCGACTCCTTCCTCTCCGAGAACGCCTTCACCTCCGCCCACGAGGCCTTCCAGAAACAGCGCGCCAAGAGCGGCTGGAAGCCTTCCAAGAAGGAGGCGGCCCAGACCAGCCTCGTCACCGTCTTCCAGACCTGGCAGACTTCTTCCACCGCTCCCACCACTAGCGAGAGCTTTAGCGACAGCAGCTCGAGCGAGGATGTGGACATGGCCGATGCGGCTGCTGCCGCTGACAGCGACAGCGATAGCAGCTCCAGCTCCAGCTCCAGCTCCAGCTCCGATTCCGACTCCAGCAGCGAGAGCGAGAGCGAGGATGAGAAACCCAAGCCCGGGGCCAAGCAGAGCCTGAAGCGCAAGGCGCCCGAGTCCGACAGCAGCAGCAGTGATAGCAGTAGCAGCAGCGACAGCGACTCCTCCTCAGACGACTCCAGCTCTGAAGACGAGGCCCCCAAGGCCAAGAAGCAGAGGGTCAAGAAGGACGACAGCAGCTCCTCCTCCGACTCCTCATCCGATTCCAGCTCGGACAGCTCCAGCGAATCTGACTCCTCCTCCGACTCAGACTCTTCCGACAGCGACAGCGACTCTGACTCCGACTCTGATGGCTCTGAGGCCGCAAAGGTGCCCCTTCCCGAATCTGGCTCCGATTCCGACTCCTCTTCTTCCTCTTCCGATTCGGACTCCGACTCAGACGCAGACACCAAGAAGAAGGCCAAGAAGGAAAAGGCACCCGCCGACAGCGCCTCCCTCTCCTCCGCAACTCTCGAGAAGACTTCCCCGGAGCTCAAGCCCGCGACCTCCACGGCCGCTGACCCGCCTCTGCCCCCCGACCCCATGACCTACCGCGCCAACAACCGCGGCGGCAAGAAGGAGAAGAAGGAGCCCAACAAGCCCTTCTCCCGCATTCCCGACGTCGTCTACGTCGACCCTCGCTTCGCCAGCAACGAGTACGTGCCCAACGACTACTCGCAGCGCGCCCACGAGGACCTCATCGTTACCAAGGGCAAGGGCTTCACCAAGGAGAAGAACAAGAAGAAGCGCGGCGCCTACCGCGGCGGCTTGATTGACATTTCTAGCAAGAAGGGCATCAAGTTCGACTAAGGTCCGCTGTCAGCCACGGTTTTCTTGATGACACATGCATATTCGGTTCTTGGAGTTTGGGATCCCGACAAAAAGAAGTCAATTTTTGCGTTCTAGTTTTTGGTGGTGAAAGTAAAAAGGGGAGGGCCGGTTTGACTTTGGCATTGCGTTTATTAGTCTGCTTCAGAGAGCTTTAAAGCATGACGGCTGATTTTTCTTCGAGAGGATGGAAAAAGACCAGAGAGGGAAAGAAAGACCTTGGTACGCGGCATAATCACTAGACTCGAGATCAGCTCCCACGCAAACGTTTGCCGTGTAGATAGAAAAATCAAGACGTATATTTAACGTTCTTTTCATGCGTCTTTCTCTACGGTATCCTGTGCTACTTATGCAAACAATCAGAGTGTCAGTGATCAATAAGTAAGTACCGATAACCTGGCAGTACTTGACTGTGATGTACACCTCCAGGTACCGGATAACAGAGTTCTTTCTAATAGTCGTTGGACCGGTAAAAGTCCCCTCATACAGAATCAGGCTGAGATGTGCGACACAGAGGAGTTCCGGTGGCGCAGTAGGCTAAGATAGGTAAACGAGCAACAGGCTGCAGCCTGATCGATAGCGTGTACTTCGTGCCGTTTGTCCTCACCTCAATCTCAAATTGTTGGGGCCCGGACGGGACGGGACCTGGGCTCTGAGTTACCTATCCATCTCACCATTGCCTCCGTCGGCCCTTGACAGCAGCTTCTGAAGGGCTCAAAGAGCTTGCTCGTTTCGGGAGGATCAAAGGGCAGGAGGGGTAAAGGTAGGACACGAGAGATATTGGGATGAGATGAGACGAGATGAGATGAACGAGTGGGGAATGGACCAAAAAGAAGAACTGGCCCAGAGCAAGGCTCGCGGAGGAGAAGTCCCGGTGAAAGTTGGGTTCCGCGGCGGTCGATTTCTTGGCTGGGCGGAGGAAGGGGGAGGGGGGAGGAGAGGAAGAGAAGGAGGGGGTATCATGTTGGCTGGCTGGTCCACTACCTATCAACTAACCTTAAAAATCCTAATTCTGGGCTGGCAGGCCCTGATCTGAGTGGAAGAGTGAGTTGATATCAATAAATGAAGACTCGGCCGAGATAATCTTTGCAAGTGAAGTGCGTGGACACACCTTTACATGGAAGAAACAAGTTGTGTGGCAAAATACATAATGGAAGAGAAAGAGGAACGGCCCGTCGTCGCAGCTGACGCCAAGACTGTTACCATCCACGATGCGGCCCCCAACCTCGTATGAGTTACGCAATAGGCAGAAATCACACATCGAGTCACGTCGACTTGGTCCTTCATTCGTCAGTTTTGTTACAGGGCTGGTAGTGTCCTTTCGATCTTCATAAAGACATTCATCGTTAAATCTTCTAAAAAAAAAAATGAATTAAAAACTTTCCCGTATCTGTCCCATGGTATTTCCAGAACAGACCAAAGAAAAGCCGGGCATGTCGGTTGCTCCAGCCGAATTTCTACTCTGGAATCTCTAACGACAAATCCCTGAACTCTTCAAGAATCCATTGCAAGAATAGCTCCCAACGCTTCTCCCATTCCTTCCGCACACTCGCGAGCTCATCTTTTGACATGCAAGAGTGCTCTAGACTCCACTCAATGAGCTGTCGCCAGCCGTGCAAAGTCATGTCCGTCTTACCCACCATCGCTTGATAGAAATCATGTGAAAGAGTTGATCTGTGTGGTCTCTGGTTAGCTTCTTGCTGCCTTATGGCTTGATGCAAAACAGGAGAAAGGCATACCTGAATATTGTTCCGTTATCTGAGTTTAAAGTGCAGTGTACGTTGTTGGCGAGCAAGTTGTACATTGAGTGGCCCGTAATCCGGGGTGTGAGACCAAGCTCCTCGTTGGAGATTGGGCACACCTCAAGGCAGATACCCCTTTTCTTCATGTGCTCCATGATATAGGGGTGCCTGGCCAGAGCAAATCCGTGGCCGATGCGCTTTGAGTTGAGCAAGAGCGCATCCACAAGATTGCCGTCCGTGTCGTTGCCAATGTCTGTCGTCTCTCCGCAATGAAAGAGAAACGGAATGTCAACTTTAGGCTGAGATTCCTCACATCTCTTCCGGAAGGCGAGAAATTCTGTAACGAAATGTCGCAGAGGATGACCTTGCGATTCTTCGCCAACCAGATCAAATCCTGTTTTGTCAGTTAGTTGTCTGCTCAAGGTATAGCGGCGTTCAAGGACTTACCAGCGATCCACTGGGGCCATTCCCTCTTGAATTCGAAACACTCGTCGAGCGCAAATGCAACCAGTTCCGTGGTAAAAGACCTAGGAGTGCAGTAGATGACCTTCAGCCCGCCAAAGTAGTCTTTGGTCTCCTTCTGAAAGTTGTCGTATTCTTCTATGATGATTTTCATGATACCCCTATTGTCGATTTGCCTCGTACCGTCATCAGTCCAGAGTTGATTTGTCTGCATGAAATTAGGCCGAATCTCGGCATACTGAATGTTGTCGCGGACGAAATCTTCAAGAATGCCCCGTGTGTATTTCCGGTATGCACTCTCATAGTTGAAGAGCCCCTTCATCATGCGAGTCCGGCCGTTGAACTTCTCCCATGCTCCCTGAACTGTTTGAAGCGCGTTATGTGCTTCATCTTCGTGAAAGACAAGTTTGCTCGTTAGCCACTCCTCGGCCTTCATGCCGTTGTAATGCTTGGGGAACTCTTTGATAAACTCTGAGTATTTCATCATTTGTCGGTGATGATAGTCGGTCTTGAAAAGGTTTCCCTTAACTTCGTCTTCCTTTTCGAGCGGCAAGATGGAAAACTGGATTTCACAACGGTGAAGGTTAGTCTTTGCCGCGCTCGGTGCCAACGACAGATCGCTTTTGATAAACATGCGGGGCATGGTCTCGGCAATGCCCAGCAATACATGAGGCTGTAAGCAGGCGTTGAAATGAATATGAAGGTGTGCTCCCTTTGGCATCTTGACGGCAACTCGGAATAGACTCGTTTGGTTGATTAAATCGACGTTGGATAGGAAATGGTCAGCAGCAAATCGCGCATGTTTCTGACCACCCCATCCTTGCCTCTTTTCAGCCGGTTTATACACGCTCTCATGGTCCTTGACCTTGAGTTTCTGAATGATGGCGTTGGCTTTCCGCTCCTTCTCTGATGCCCGCATCTTTGCGCTAAAATCAAAAGATAGTGTATTCTCGCGGTCCAAGATTTCCTTTCTTTGGTGGAAGTACTCGTCAGGTCCGTCTATTTTTCTGGCGTCCATCTTATCGAGGGCGGGTTTCCGGTGCATCTTGAAGATGTTATTGATGACTACCTCGTGAGCTTCAATCATTTCCTGGCCCTTGTCCATGTCTGCTTGGTGTCTTTGGTGATGAGCGTGATGGCGTTGATGTCGAAGCTTCCGCAGCCTTTTGGAAGAGAGTCGTGTGATGGTCTTCGCATTGATGTCCCTACTAGCCTGACCATCCTTCTCGCCAGGTGCATCGTCCTTTTCAATGTTTGAGCACAGGCTGCCCATGAGACTATTGACAGAAGTGAATAAAGAGGTTGTTCTTTGACGTGGTCTTCCGGGTAAACTTTGGATGGCAGAAATGTGGCTACCAGGCAGTGAATCGGCGGTAAGGTACACAAGAAGACCAGGTTGGTGTTGCTTTGTCGGGATGTTCTATCGCCGTGTTTCGAAGATCCACGATCGCAGGGAGACGAAAGTCAATTTAATTGAATGCGCAAAGCTCCTCGGCAACTCTGGCGATCATCATGGGCCCGTTTTCAATGTCCTTTATTGGAACCTGGGAACTTGGGAAGTGGAAAATGTCCTACCCTGGGTGAGGTAGTGCGATGACAAGCAATGTAGGAAGAAGGTACGTTTGTTTGCGGTACCAACAAGCGCCCGGCTGTACCTTTAGCTTGGAGGTCTCATGCTTGGCCTCAGGTAAGCGCAGCTTTCATGTCAAGCAAGGCGTGAGTAGGTAAGGAAAGTGACATGCGGCGGTTTCCAGCTCAGCTGGAACCATTCAAAGGTGAGCAACAAGCGGTGCTCCCCTCTACGCCAAGATCCTGGACTAGGCAGTGGCAGGCTAGCAATGCTGCGACCCAGAGAGGCGGCACAAGATAGATGGACGTAGGTAAAAGGTAGGTGAGCTGGGAATGAGCGTGAATGAGGTGGGCTGGGAGGACATGAGGTAAGGGTAGAATGAGGGGCAGGAGGGAGCTGCCTAGGTACCTTTCCAAAATGGACGAGAAAGTCGTACCCAATTTGGCTTAGCTCAACACCAAGCCACATGCGCAGTTCTTCTTCCGACTTGGCCAATGAATGGACCCTTCACAGGCTGACACGCAGGCTTTCTACCTTAGTTTCTACCTCAGCGAAGAAGCTGCCTCCCGATTCCCATCTTTCTTTCGCCTGCTGTTACCCATTTCACTTGGGGCTGTTGGGAGACGGCAGGACCGGACTTTCGTTGTTTGGCCAGTCCTTTCTTCCCCTCTATCTGACAGTTTCGTTTGGCATGCGGGGGCTTCCAGTTGGCTGTTTCCAACTTTCCGGTCAGGTACAGTTGTTGGAGCTCACGGGATTTCTAAATGCCTTGTCTCACGTGTCACGCACCAGAACCAACAAAGCATTTGCCCATTGCTGCGAACAGGCATTTTGGGAATGCGTCCCGTCATCTCTTACCTCTTCTAGGATCATACTTCACCGGATGAATCATTTTCACCATTGTACCCTTCCAACAAAGCCAACTTGCCTGACCCCTAAGCGAATACGGTGTTCGGGGCCTCTTACTCACTCAAGCTACCAGCTTACCCAAGGAATCGTAGGTACTTGGTCAACATCGTCAACATTGAACAACCCGCAATCTTGATATCTCAGACATGAGGCTGTCACGCCCACACCTCACGCGACTCCTTCCAGAAGTCCACAATCGCAAGGGGTCATTCTCACATGGCAGCCACACCGTTGTAGATCTGCAAACGCCCCGATACGGGACCTGCTCGGCGCACGAGCCATTCCCACTATCCCAGAGAATCGGAATCTTCAACACATGCCCAGCACCCCTGTTGGGGTATGACAACGATTAATCCCCTTTGGACCGCGCCAACTTTATTTCAAGGCAGCAAGGCTGTATGGCGCTTCATCGTTGGCTCCCGCTAGTACGGAGCAGACCTTCGTCCATCCACGGACAGCATACCACCAGGTACGGAGTATGATCCGGCCAGATTCGGAGGCCCCGACAACGGTCACCCTCACGGTCTCATCTTACCTTACCCGCCGCCTTTACCCCCGGCAGCGGTGGCTTGCACCAACAAGCGCCTACCCTTGATCACTCCACGCATGGTTTAAGCCTCAAGGACTTCACGTTGGAAATCCTGTGAGGCCACCTGCCTTTCTTTTGAAGTGTTCCCTCGTTATACTACGCCTCCCGGTAAAAGGGCGATCCTGCGTCACGCCGGTAACAAGCTTACACCCTTGTCAGTGGCCGGGTGAGACTGGCCTCAAGGACACCCAAGATGGGTCAGCATCGAGCGATCCTTCTTATACAATTTTCTTGTGGCTTAGATCACTATCTGGTGTTTAGTCTTGGAAGTGAGTCGTCAAGTGACGGCCAACTTCACGCCTCGAAAACGAAGAGTGGCAATGACTTGGTACCGAAGGCGGGCGTATAGCCTCCTTGGAACACTGCCACGCACAACCGCAAACGGCGTCTGAACCTCACGAGTGGTTGCTGATGAACATGAGCGACAAGGACTTGCTCATGACTGTATCTCGCTTGGGATCTAACCGCAGAAATCTGTACGTGAGATGCCTTTTTCTGTTTCCTGTTTCCTGGCCTAGCCTGAGACGAAGTGTCGTTACAGGTAACCCAACGTCCCAAAATACGCAGCCATACATCGAAGAAGATCTTGGAAAACGGCCCCGAGCTGGAATTGTTGGGTTGAACAGTGACGAAGACGCCTTGAATCAACACCCTCAACGGGAAGGTCGTGAAACGAAGTGTACTTGGCCGTGTTGACGCCAGCGGGGTGCTCGGATACAGACAACACTTCCTGTTTCCCATTGTTCAAAGACCTGCTCCTGTTGAACAAGACAAGAACCGGACTGTCGGCTCACGGCACCACAATTTGACCGAGCTGCGCAACTTCAGTATCCTTACTCCTTCGCTGCTCCCCTATAATACGACGTGTGAAGCTTCCCAAGCCCGGAATTCCCGGGTGGAGTCAAATCGTTCAAAGTGGACAAGGGGCTTCGCATCTACCGATTGACAGGGAACTTCGGGAATTCCGCCCAGATGTACGTCAAATGCCATCTGAGACCCATACTCGAGTGGAATACACCTCCTTCTAATCATCGGCATACATACGTACGCCAACCCACATGCCACCTCCGTTATAGTGCCCGGTTCCATTCGGTCTCTCCTTCGGGGCTTCCATTTGTCGATGCTATCTTCAGCTCATCTTCGCCCTGGTTTGCGTCATGCATGCAAGATACCCGCGATCCCTGGCGCTTGTTTCTTCAAATGGGATGAACAGCGGGTCGAATGGGTTCGAGATGGAGCCATTCTAGATCGAAGAAGAAGGCCGTTTCCACGTTAACACCACAAGAAACATGTTAGTCAGCGGACAAGCGGAGCATGTAGCTCGACCTGGAAGCTCGGTGTCCCTGTTCAGATCAGGAACAAGCAATGACATGCGGCAAGGGTTACACTGGGTGAAAATCCCGCGATGGGGTCTTCCTAAGGGGGCAACGGCTCGGACACCGAGCGAGGATCTTCATGCCCGGCCGTAACGTTGGTTCGTCTGCTCTCATGCTGCTATAAGTTCCCAATGTTTCCCCTGACGTGATTATGTTTCTTCCTCGTTCGTCCATCCTGTCTGTGTGCCATCTTGGAAATCGCCGTTAAACAAGCTTGTAAACAAAAGTTCAAGTTCAACAACTCGCCAATATGAGATTCTCAACGCTCGCAGCCGGCCTCCCCCTCGTGGCGGCAGCTCCTCAGGGTCACTCCTTCAAGCAGCAGGCCAACAGCACCGGAAAGAGCCTCATCCTCGACCAGGCCCCCGAGACGTCCCAGCCCTACGCCCTCCGCAAGGGCTCCGGCCGCGCCGTCGCCGTCGGCGAGCAGGTCTACCGCTTCTCCGTCACGGGCAACTCCTCCGCCGGCGCCTTCACCCTGATGCAGACCAACGCCCCGGACTCGTCTGATCTGGGCGTCCTCCCCCACATCCACAAGGCCCACTACGAGAACTTCTACTGCACAAAGGGCCAAATCCAGCTCTGGGCAAAGACCAACAGCTCCGGCGAGCAGGCCCGCGTCCTCACCCCGGGCGACTACGGCGCCGTGCCCCACAACACGGTCCACACCTTCCAGATCACCGACCCGGACACCCAGCTCACGGGCGTCATCCAACCCGGCGGCTTCGAGGAGCTCTTCATCGCCATCGCAAACTCGGACTTTGTCTCCCCCACGGGCTCCGAGTTCGTCCCCGCCGCCTCCAACGGCTCCTCCTCCGGCTCCGACCCGGCCCTCATCTCCGCCCTCGAGGCCTTTGACGTCTACGCCCAACTCGACTTCAGCCCCCGCCGCGACCTCGTCAACGGCAGCGCTGGTGGCGCAAACACATGGCACACGGCCGCCAACACCCTCGCGCCCGACGCCGTCACCCCCAACTTCGTCGCCAAAAACCGCGGACCAAAGTACCTCAACGCCGACGGCGGCGTCTACCACCTCGTCGCCCCCTTCGCGACGGCCAACCAGACGGCAAGCAACTTCACCATGGGCACCGTCACCCTGAGCCCCCTGCTCTCCAACCAGACCGCCACCAAGGCGAACCTCGGCCAGCCCCTGGCCTTCCAGCTCGAGGAGGGCAGCCTCGAGGTCGCCGTCGAGGGGTACGACGCCGTCACGCTGATCCAGGGCGACGTCGTCTTCGTCCCGGCTAACGTTGCCTTCACCTACGCCGCCTCGTCCGCCTTTACAAAGTTCCTGTACGTCAGCGGCGGCGGCGACGGCTTCGATTACCAGCTCCTCCAGCGCGCTGTCCCTTGGTCGTATGCCACGTACCCCATCGACGCCGGATTCACTGTGCAGTAAAAAAGGGCGATGTTGCTTTGGGGCAGAGACAGGGTGACAGAGGCTTAGCCTCTGCTCCAGGAACTTTTACAGTACTTTCAAACGTTGTACATTTTTTCCAGAGATATTGTACATGAAATCCTCCTCGCAGAAACAGTTTTTTCTACTTCTCTAGTGTAAATATGTTCTCCTGCTCGTTATACCCCCGGGATGAGCAGCCCACAAGCCGCATGAGGCCGACGGCGTCAAGACTCCCGAGGTACCATATGCATTTTTTATCAGATAGTAACAACATTACATCCTTTTGGTAATCTAGTCCAGGTCACTTTGGTGGCAGTGCTTTCCCCCCTTTCGTGATGATGAGATGGTTCATGGAGGTTTGCTAGTCATGAAGCTAGTTACACCGCCTCTGGGTCGAGTAGAAACACTTGGTACGGTGTTTTGAACTGCCGAGGAGGGGTCTGTGAGATGGGTCCAGCGCAAAGCTTGGAAACCCGCCTCGTATGAACAATTCACACTCACGTCCCCTCGCTAGGTATGGTCATATTCCACGTCCCGCCCGGCGAAGCAGTGGTTCCTACCGGGCTAACTTTGACCTCGTGTAAGAGGTCAGCGGGGAATCATAACACCAATTTCCCCGCGAGGCTTTCCACCGAGGCGAACTTCCATCGCAGCGAAATCTCGCAAATCTTCATAACGGTCCCCTACTCGGACCGATCTCGTAACCCAAATCACTCAACCTTGCGAGTAGCGGATTCTGCGACGAATGATTGTCTAGGGCATTGAGCAAGGCAGACTATTGCCTATACCTCGCCGCAAAGGAAGATGGATTTTCCCCATCTCGAACAAGGACATACCGTCCTCGAAGGAAAACCGAAAAGTTCCATTGTTTTCAAAGATTAATACCAACGCTAATACCATGTGTTTTTGTCAATGGTGGTTCTTTCTTTACCTAGGGAAAGGGGGGCGGGCGAACTTTTTGGAAAAGGGGCTTGGGTGGGTGCACAGCCACTGCCCCGTGGAGTTGTCGACTTGACTAGACTCAGTTCCACTTCGGTCCAGGCAGACGTTAGATCTAGTGATATTGATGAAACTTATTAGATTGTTTTCGATTTGCTGTCGAGATAATTTGCTAACTTGATAGTGGTGTGGTCAATATCGCCATCGGGAGGGTTCGAACTTGGAAGTGTCCCATGACATCACAGTAGGCTGGAAAGAAGCCCCAGTTTAGCTTCACTCTTTTTCTTAATATTTCTCCCCTTCGTCTTGGAAATTGACTATAACATGGGTTTTCAGGGCGGTTCACAATGAGAATCGAGAAGGAATTGCATTTTCAGCGGTCAGGCATCTAGATGGAATCTTCAGATGACCAACCAACTTGGAACTTTTGTTGGCTTCGTGTATTTTCCAGTTCATCTCACCTAGCATGAAAGCTGCAGAATATCAGAGGATGGACTATTGATTTCTCTATTGCCAAATGTTCGAATTAATCACTTACAAAACTGAAAAAGGTCAAAAAGGAAAGGAAGGAGAGGGCTGGTGATCACTTACGCTAGAATTCACGCCCCTGTCCGGACTCGAACAGCGCGCCCCTCGGACCAGCACGGCTTCATTGGAGTATTTGTTTTGGCTTCTCTGCGTCAGAGTATAAACCACCCGGCCAATTGGCCGGATGGGTGCTGGTGACAGAAACGGATGATTAGACTCCTTATGTACCAGAGGCAGGTCAAGGAAGGAGGGACGTAGAGGTTAGGAAGGCGCGAGGCGGTAAGCACCTACCATAGCATTCACCGTTGATTCAAAGACTTGTTCATATTCGTTTCGTAGATAATTCTACACGTTCATCACTTTTGGTTGTGGAAAAGGTTCTCCTGAAGGCTCATGAAGAAACCTCGAGGAAGATATCGTAGGTTCACTCTCTCAAAGCTTCATATGGCAGCATTGCTTGTTTAACTTATTCTCGAACTTGTTTAAGAACATGGTATAACATCTCCTATATCTTCTTCTTGTGATATGTAGAGCTCATTGTCTTTCTATCGGTCGAGTGCTCGGTGCTCTTGCCTTGGACGCGAGGATGGGAGGAATGTAGTTCTTGTGAATTACTTTGTACCTCCTCTTACTGAGTTGATAATACTAGCACTCTAAGATAATATCATCTAGTTACAGAAGAGATTATGATGTTGTTAGCCATGTTCGTGGCGCCCTCTTTCTTACGTATGCAGCAAACGTTAAATGAGCGTGATACTTGGGGTTCTACTCCAAGTATATATATCAGTTTAGACGAGAGCCTGGGAAAAGTGAACCTCAGAACTGTATGTTGTAGGTCCCGAATCTATACAGTTGGATCATTCTTCTGTGTGGATTGACCGTGATATTTGCCAAATTCTTCACTACTTATGGTCAAAAGACGAATCAGCATACGCAAATATTCAACGATTTCTGAAAACACAACTTCGACTTGACGGTCGGACCAGGCGAATGACAAGGAAGAACAGCTTCTACCAGTCGGAACGTAAGAAGGAAACGAAAAGACAGCCTGGAGGGCTCCAGACGCCCGCATCGCTCCGATCAGCTTCCCCGCCCCGAAAAGACGAAAAAAAATGTATGGCGTGACCCGATGCGTACCAGCGGCGCAGCCTCTGCACGCAACCTCGCATGTGTTCTCGCTCCAGAGGAATTGAGACCCGAGCCCTTCTCTGTCAAAATGCGAGATTTGCCCCTCGCCTGGACCGTTCTATTCGGGCACGCCTCGACTTTACCCGACAGCCTGGGCAGTCCCTCCCGTGCTTCCGCATACATGGAATATGCGGCTTGTTATGCGAGACGAGAGATGCTATTGACCAGAGAGGTATCGAGATGAGGGGTAACGACTGTGATGAGGCTAGCTGCAGCTGGCAAACAACAACTTGAGTCCCTCACCGGTGTCTTTTCCTTCCTTAAGATTAAGTCCGTCTGAGAGATGTAGAAATCCAAGCCGGGCCGTGGTTTGGCTGTCTTCGGGTTCTGTAATAGACTATGAGAAGAGCTGGTAGACTTTCGGAATAATCATTGTGAAGCTTAGTTGGAAGAGGGTTTGTCAACTTGGCATGATTTGAAGCCGGACACAATAGAGCCAAGGCTGCGTGAACAAGGCTCTTTACGATGGCTGCAGAACATGATGCGCTGCAACGTGGGCGCTCTCCCAAAGCAGAATCTCACAACGATACCACTTATAGTTTTTTTGTACGCGAATCGTCATTGCCAATGGGGTGAAGAGCAGCAGAGGTTATCATGGGCGGCAAACACGCCAAGATCACCTCGCATGACCCTCTCCCTATGTAGACGAAGGCCCCTCGAGCGGGGCTATATAAGAGAGAAAATCTTGGATCCATAGAAGCTTCGTAAATATTTCCTCAATTATTCTTCTATGCCTAGATTCTGTTGAACTAAAAGAAGCCAGCCAAAATGACAAAGATCCCTGTCCTTGTGGCCGCCTTGGGCTTCTTGTTGGCGAATATCCCACGTGTTATCTCATCAAGTATCCCCCGATCCATCGCTCACTCGAGAATCCTCCCTAGAGCTTGTGATGTCAAGGCAGAGTACGACTACGTTATCGTTGGAGGAGGCACCTCCGGCCTGACAGTCGCGGATCGATTGACTGAAAGTGGCGAGCGTAAGTTTGCCCCAGAAGAAGAGGGCGCACCATACTATGCTAAGTCGACCCTCGCAAGATACTGTGCTGGTCATTGAGCTTGGTTTGTTCGGTAAGTTCCGACCTCATCTCTTGAGACATAGCTCAGGAGAGCGAAGCGTGAACTAACACAGCAGCAAAGACAACTCGTCTCAAGTGAATACCGTCACGACGGGCCTCCTATCCTGGCGCAACCAGTCCCACACCTTCAACTTCTCCTCCGTACCCCAAGAAGGTCTCAACGGCCGCAAGTTTAACGTCATTGGCGGCGTCATGCTCGGTGGCTCGACAGGCGTCAACGCCATGCAGGTCCACCGCGGGCAGAAGGAGGACTACGACAGATGGGGGTCCTATTTCAGCAACCAGTCAGAATGGAGTTGGGATGGCCTGTTACCTTACTTCAAAAAGGTAACAATCCGATCGTCTGAAGTTCTGTTTGCTGTTCTCTCTCTTTCTCAGATGACTGTGACTGATGAAGTAATGTGGCCGCAGGCGTGGAACTTCCATCCGCCTACCCCCGAGCTGACCGAGCAATTCGACATCAAGTACGATGCGAGCTTCTGGGGCAACTCCTCCGGCATCCACGCTTCGTTTCCGACCTTTCACTGGCCTATGCTGAGTACTTATCTACCACTCCCTTCCATATCACCAGTTGAATACAACGCATGACATTATGCTAACAAGAAGCACACCACAACAACAGAGACCGAAGTAGAAGCCTTCAAAGAAATCAAAGGCGTCGACTTCCCCGCCGACTCGGGCGCCGGCGACCCAGGCGTCTTCTGGTACCCAACCTCCTTCGACCCGGCCACCGTGACGCGGTCCATGGCTCGGCGAGGTCACTGGGACGGCATCCAGGCCGCGCGGGACAACTACGAGACCATTACCGGGCACAAGGTGCTCAAGGTCCTCTTTGACGGCGACAGCGAAGCCGAGACCCGGACCGCCACCGGTGTCTCCTACGTCGAGGCGAACTCCACCATCGCCAAGGGCGCGCGGATCGTAAAGGCGAGGAAGGAAGTCATCCTGGCCACGGGATCGATTCACACGCCCCAGATTCTGCAGCGCAGCGGCGTAGGCGGGAGAGCACTTCTCGAGGCTGTGGGTATCGACGTCGTCGTCGACTTGCCCGGCGTGGGACAGAATTTCCAGGACCATCCTGTTGGTGCCGGAGCTACCTTTACATGTGAGCTTCGATATATTCCCTCAAAGAGACATACAACGTTGGGGTTTTGCTGACATCTTTTCTCATCAAGTCACTAATTTTGACGTCCACCCGGATATGACCGACCTCGTCAACAACCAGACCTTCATCGACCAAGCCAAAGCAGAGTTCGAAGCCAATAGGACCGGTACAACCTCCCCTGCCCAAAGACCCTATCAGGAAAACCTTACTGACACTCTTCATCCTCTGCCAGGGCCTCTAACTATAGGCGCAGGCAATGTAGCAACCTTCCTCCCCTTCCCAGTAATAGCCCCCTCCTTCGAAGCCATCACATCCGCCTACGAATCCCAATCCCCCTCAGCCCACCTCCCTCCCAACACAGACCCAACCGTAATAGCAGGCTACGCAGCCCAACAAACCCGCTTCGCAGCAGCCCTCCGCTCCCCCGGCGCCGCCTTCTACAACTTCTTCCTCCGCGGCAGCCCCACAGAAAGCAACTTCGTCCTTCTCCACCCCCTCTCGCGCGGCACAATCTCCCTCAACACCAGCGACCCCTTCTTTTCCGAACCCATCGTAGACTACCGCGCGCTAAGCAACCCCGCCGATCTCGCCGTGCAAATCGAATTCATCCGCTTTACGCGGCGGTACTTCCTCCAGTCCGCGACGCTGGCGCGCTACGAGCCCGTGGAGACGGTTCCGGGGACGAATGTTACGAGTGACGAGGCGCTGGGCGAGGCTGTGAGGCGGATGATCAGCCCGACGACGTTTCACCCTGTCGGCACGGCGGCTATGATGCCGAGGGCGTTGGGAGGGGTTGTTGATGAGGGGTTGGAGGTGTATGGGGTCCGGGGGTTGAGTGTTGTTGATGCGAGCGTGATGCCTGATTTGCCGGGGGCGTATACGCAGCAGACTGTGTATGCTGTTGCTGAGAAGGTGAGTCTTTGGTGATAGGAAACAGGTGTAGAAGCGAGAGGAAAGAGAGGTATACTGACGATGTTGTTCAGGCTGCTGATTTGATTAAAGCCCGGGCGTGAGGCCTTCCGAACAGTGAGCGGATTTGATAATGACGAGGGGGTTGATAATTAGCCAACATTCACAGACACTGGCGTAGTAGGGCCCCCAAGATGTGCGAAGTGGTACGCTTGACACTTGAGTGTTGAGCGTATTTTGGCAGACACGTTACCGTGATGCCCCATTCTCACTGCCTTTCCCATCACTATTCACTTTCTGTCCCATCACCACCACCTTTCTGATCATCCCATCCCTAAGTTTCTCAAAGTGTATCACCAAGCGAATAAGCAGAAAGTAAGTAAGAGAAAGCAGTACTAGTAACCTCGGTAGTCGGTCGGTAGTACTGACAATGATCTGACTCCTTCCGCGACCGCACCATATGACATTCATGATAGGACTAGAGCCGCCCCCAGCTCATCTTCCATCCTGCCACTCCCGTTCTCGCCCATTAATGCTTGTCGGAACGCTACTTTCTCGACCGTTTCATTCATTTTATATACTAGTTACTGCTCGTAGTACTGGCCGTATTGGGTGACAGATAATTGTGTACCCCTTGATAGGGCAGAGAGATATAAAGCTTGGAAGATGGTGTCTCGAGATTCCAAAGGCTGAGACCGTTCTCTTGGGAGCATTTTGCGCTGTTGACTGAAAAAATGAAGTGTGCTGGGTGTTCTGACATTCACAATAACGATAATGGCACATGGCATGAAGTGCAGCAAATATTCGATGCTTATTCGATACGACGCAATTGCTCAATCCAGAAAGCTGGCTAGTAACAGGGAAACTTTTCGATAGGGCCGTAGCCCTGTTATGTACAAAGAAATATGCCAAACAGATGTCTAGTGCACAAGACCATCAACAAAAAGAAACTAGTACACCTCGAGGACGTAGCGGCCATCCTCCTTGAGCTTCTCAATCTCGTTGCGGGCATTGACCTTCTTGCCGCTCATCTTGGCCTCGACGTTGATGGCCTCCATCAGCACGTCCGTCACGTCGGGGACAGGCCACGTGGGGCCGCACAGGTAGAAGCTGCCCTCGTCGCGGATGTACGACTGCACGACGTCGCGCATGGACTCGCGCATGCGGTCCTGGATGTAAATCTTGCGCGGCTGGTCGCGCGAGAAGGCGGCGCCGAGGTGCGTGATGACGCCGGCGTCGACGTAGGCCTCCCACTCCTCGCCGTACAGGTACTCCTCGCGCTGGTGGCGGGAGCCGAGGTACAGCAGGATGGAGCCGATCTCCTCGCCGCGGGCCTTTTGCAGGGCGCGGTACTGGACGAAGGCGCGGAAGGGCGCCAGACCGGTGCCGAGGCCGGCCATGATGAGGGGCGCCTTGGAGGAGGTCGGGAGCTTCATGACGGAGGGCTTGACGGAGGCGACGACGGTGGCGCCGACGGGGAGGGCGGAGAGGTAGCGGGTGGCGTGGCCGAAGCGGTTGCGGCCGCGGGGGTCGACCCAGTCGACGACGACGATCATGAGGGCGACCGAGGTCGGGGTCACGGCCTGGGCGGAGGCGATGGAGTACTCGCGGCGCTTGAGCGGGGCGATGATGCGGACGAGGTCGTGGAAGGACGGGCGGGCCGAGGGGAACTCCTGGAGGATGTCGACGTAGGTGACGAAGTCGACCTCGGAGCGCTGCTTGAAGTCGGCGGCGCCATCGGCACCGCCGAGGCTGGCGAGGACGGCCTTTTCGCGCTCGTCGGCGGCGAACTCGGACAGGGCCTCGTAGAAGCGCTTGGGGGGCTTGCCGAGGACGTCAATGTTCTGCTTGAGGGACTGGTAGACGGTGCGGGTCTCGAAGGCGGCGTTATCCTCGCGAGCGGGGACCTGGACGAGGGCCTCCGGGTCGAGGCCGTACCACTTGATGAAGGCGCTGACCTCCTCGTGGTCGTTCTCGGCGTGGATGCCGAGGGCCTCGCCAATGTCGTAGGTGAGACCAGAGTCGCCGAGGTCGAACTCGATGTGGAAGATGTTGCGGTCGTAGTTGCCCGGGGTGAGGCGGCGGTTCTCCTTGACGGTGATGGTGTGGGTCTTGACGGGCAGCTCCGGGCGCAGGGCGCTCTCGGTGCCGTAGGCCTCCTTGAAGGCGAGACCCTTGGCCGCGGCCTGCCAGTCGACGAGCTGGGAGGTCTCCTCGACCTCCTCCTTGTCGAAGCCGACAAAGCTGTTGGGCTTGATAGTAGCGGGCAGGGGGCTGACGACGACGTCCTCGGGGAGCTCGGCCCAGGCGGACTGAGACTCGACCTTACGCAGGGCCGGGCCGAGGGCCTCCTGGGTCTCGGCGAGGGTGCTGGAGAAGCCCTCGGGGAGGGCGATCTTGGCGACCTCCTCAGCGGTGATGTCGGAGCGGGCGATCTGGAGGAAGGCAAACTCCAAGAGGACCTTGACAGCCTGGGACTCCTTCTCGGCAAAAGCGGAGGCGTCCAGGATGTAGAGCTCGATGGACTTATCCTGGATCTGCTTGCGCACGACAGGGGAGAGGCGCTTCTCGATGTCCTCCTCCTTGAAGCTGGGGAGGTTCAGGAGAAGCTTGCCACCGGCCTTGACGCTCTTGATGATATCGAGGTCCTCGAGGAGCTTCTCCTCGCCGACGGCAACGACATCGGCCTCCTCAACGGCGTAGGGCGCCTCAATGGCCTTCTTGGAGCTGCGGATATCGGTGCGGATGATACCACCCTGGAGCAGGTTGTCGAACGACTCGTGGACGTACACGTTGCTGGTAGACTCGCGGGAGAGCAAGTTGCTGACAACAGCGGGGGAGTCAACGGCGACAGAATTGTCAACGTCCCAGAAGGTGTACTGGTGCGCCTGCACCAAGGCGGGGAAGGGCTTGGACTCGGCCTCGGCGCTGAGGAGCTTGCCAAAGATGTCGGCGACGGCCTGGGGCGTCAGGGCCTCCGAGGCGGAGTACTTGACGTCCGAGACGGTGGGGTCCTGGCGCCACTTTCCAGAGAAGGACACGGAGGTCAGAACGTCGGTGTAGAGGGCAGACTGCAGGGAGGCGTCGTTGACGGAGAGCTCGTCCTTGACCTGGCCCAGAACGGAGATGGACCTGGCGGAGGCGGGGATGCTGGCGAGGAAGGCCTCCTCAACAAAGGGGCGGTACACGCGGACGTTGATGGCGCCGACCTTTGCGCCGTCGGCGGCGAGGCGGGTGACGACCTGCTTGGCGAGCTGGGTCTCGGCGCTGCCGAAGACGACGAGGACGGCCTCGGCCTGGTCGTGTCCGTGGTACTCGAACAGGTTGTAGGCGGTGCCGAGCTCGTTGTTGAAGAGTCTGAGGAGCTCAACGACCTTGCCGGCGTCGTCGAGTCTCTTGTTCAGGGACTGGACCTCGCTGGAGATCTTCTTGTAGGTCTCGGCGACGCCCTTCTTGTTGAGAGCGTCCGAGGCCTTGAGGGTCTGCTTAGCGAGCTTGACGCCGTCCTCGACTCCCAGGTTGGGGGTGAGGGCGGTCATGAGAGTGGCCAGGAGCGCGGTGTGCTGGCTCTCGTGGTCCTCGGTGGGGTCGAGGTGCTTGTTGAAGACGTCCAACAGGCCGGCGACCTTGGAAGAGATCGCGGCCCTCTCAGAGACACCAGTGGACTCGGAGGTGATGTTGTTGTAGAGGTCAGCGATGCCGCTCTGGCTGAGGGCGTCAACGACGCGAGAGGTCTCGCGGGCGAGTCTAACACCATCGTAGATGTGCAGCGTGGGCATCAGGGCGGCCATGAGGGTGGCGAAGAGGGCCATGTGCTGAGTTTCGTAAGCGCTGGAGCTGGCAACCAAGCCGAGGCCAAGGTCCTCGGCGGTGCGCAGCGCAGTGTCGTAGTCGGAGACGAGGCCGTTCGCGGCATCGTAGTCGAGAGCTGCGACGTGGGCAACGAAAGGGGAGGCGACGCCGTACAACAGGCTCAGCTGGTCCAATGCGCCGCGGAGGTTCTTCAAGCTCAGCGTAGGGGCGAGCAGGGTCTGGGGGAGGTGCCTCTTAGCCAGATCAAAGTCGGGGCTGAAGATGTAGCCGAGGGCGAGGGCGCCGGCGCCGGTCCTGGTCTGGAGCTGGATGAGGTCGGTGGTCTCGCCGTGAATGTTGCGCTCTTTGGCCTCGGCCCATGCCTTTGCGGCGACGTCGAGATCAAAGGTGGGAGCGGAGTAGGAGAAGATCTTGTCGGAGAGCAGGAAGGCGACCTGCTGGACGAGGAGCTGGGCCGTCACGTAGGTAGGACCGGAGATGGAGGAGAGGGCCACGGGCTGGCCAAAGGGAAGGGTGGAAGAGACCTTCTTCTGAGGGGCGGACGAGGGCGACGACTTCGCGTCAACGACGGCCGCAGAGCCCGTACTCTCTTGCTGCTTGAACTGCATCTTGGGAGGTTTTGGAGAGGACGAATTGGGAATAAGTACAGCAAAGAATATGTGATTAAAGATGGTCCAAAATACACGGAGGACCAGAAGACAGAGCCTCACCACTCGCAAGAGAATGGTTGCTACTGAGAGACAATTGGGACACTCAAGAGCAAGTCGTACAAGTCACTTGCGTCAACCTGAACGAGAGATGAGCTTCTTCGTTCTAGGAGGACCTTGAGGTTTGTAAGTGAGGAGAGGTAAAAAGGGAAGAGAGGTAGAAGTTCAAGAGATGTTCTCGTCTAAGGAGACTCCGAACAGGTTCCGAGCATATAAAAAAAAAAAGTGAGAGCAGGACCGGCAAAGGAGACCCTCTAGCCGGCACTCACCTTTCAAGCACGGTTAGCTAGCTAGCACCGGGAACCGAGAAGCGCACTCCATTGACTCCATTACAGCAGGCAATAAGAGACGGGCATTTGTCAGGCATCTTGCTGTCTGGTGGCAGGCGCATTGCTGTCTGCTTTGCTGCTGCTGCTGCTGCTGCTTGTTCGCGTGCGAAACTCGGCGTTTGGAAATTGTTGAAGCTTGGAGAATTGCGACTAGGGGACAATTGCGCCATCGCGCGCCAATGAGCGACCGGCACCCATCTGCAACGGCCCCATATTGCACCATTTCCGATCCACTCGACGTCCCTTCCCTCCACG